TCCTTAAGTGACTCAATAATTCTTTATGGTCAGTGGTATTGAAGGCAGTTAATAGTCGAAACACCAGCATGGGGCTCCTAGTTTTCATCCAGGAAGAGGTTTTTCAGTCACTTGTGTCTTTGTGCCAGTTTGACAGAGGCCAAAAAGATCAGACCTCCTAGATACCAGGGGAATTCTTTCTACAACCATCAAGAGGAGAAAATGTGATGTTGGTCAATAATAGGGATAGATTGATAATGTCAAGTAATAATTTTTTGATCAAAGGCCACAAAAATGCTATTTTTTAAAGTTTGTGGGTCTGAAGCATAGGCTGCAGGGTAAAGATCTCTCAACACCCCCTTCATTGAGCTTTACTGATTGAAATCATATGCTCTCAGGACCTTCCTTTTTACCCTGCAAGCAAACAGCTCATACAGAAAACCTGGTCATAAATATCAAGCAGTTGCTTCCCAAGAGAAAGTACTTAGTCCAGCTACCAAGAGGAGAAAGTCACAGTTTACTGGATTGAAATAAATCTTTTCTATGAAACGTTGCAGATATACTGGTGAAGAAAAAGAATTTCTTCTTTGTTTCTGCACTACCCTAGTTTAAGTGTTTTAACCATCTTTATTCTGCAACTGAGTAGCCTGTGCAAGATGTTTCTATCTGTGGTACTGTGACCAACTTCCGTCTTGTTTCATGCGTGTCCAATTTGCCAAAAAAGATGGTAAGTTATGAAGATATACAGTAAAGAGAGTGCCTAAGGGCTGCCTCATCAATGGTGAAGGACACTACCATTTAATTTCGCAGAAGTGCTGAAAATTAAGGAAAACTTAGCAAGGTTCTTGAACATATATGAATCACTTTAACTTTTCTTTTCCTTTGAAATAAAGGTGTACACAGTAGGTCCAGATTACGCACATGCTGAAGCTCGAAAATCCCCTGCTCTAGATGGCAAAGTAGAACGAGACAGTGAAGGAAAAGAAGTGAGGTATCCAGTCATTCTGAATGCAAGAGAGAAGTTGATAGCCTGGAAAGTATGCCTTGCATTTAAGGTAAATGGGTCTAGGCTATCTGATCAAACATTTAGTACTAATGTACTGTTTACTAGGTGAAACTTCTGCAGGAATTCAGTGCTCAGAAGCAGAGATCTTATTGTTGCAGAACTTTGGGGATATAGCAATAAGTTTACCTGAACTTTCGTGTTTTATTTAATTAGATGACTTCTCTTGTGTCAAATACTTAAGTTCATTGATACTCTTATCCTTGTTGTGGATGAACTGAGACCTCTAAATGCAGAAAGCACACATAAAATATATGGTTTGTTTTGTTTACAGTGTGACGTGTGTGAGCATGTATGCATTTGTGCGCAGAGTAATTTGTAAAGGCTATTTTTTTTAATTAAGCAAATATATTTGCATGGGGTTTATACTCAATAGCAAGCATAGCTGCAGTTAGTCATGTGTTTATGTTTAAGTCTGAGCCAAAGCAAACACTGAGGAAAAGTGATAAAGCCGTCTTCAGAGTGGCAGTGCCAGGAGTCCCAAATAAAACACTTTTTATGAAATAATCTAGGAAAGCAGTTAAATGTCCTCGTTGGCAGCCATTTCAATCTATGCTGTCTGTATGCATCTATGGGTATATACTGTACTTCAGTGATCTCCAACCTTTTTAAGTAGGAGATCACTTTTGGCATTTAAAAGCAACTCAAGATCTACTGTGTACTGCCTCCACCCCCACCCCCCATCACCCAGCAGGTAAGTCTGTGGGGAGGGAATTGGGGACAGATCAAGGCAGAGGGAGAAAAATTATTTGGGGGTGTGCCTCCCCCAGCAGGTAAGTCCCATCCAGCCAGGGCCCCACACAACATACCCCTACTCCTGCCTTTGCAGCACTGTCCGTCACCGCAGGGGCCTTGATCTAGCCCCCGCCTCTTCCTTCCCATGGATTGACCTGCTGGGCGTGTGTGTGCTTGCACACAGGCACTCAGTTCCCCACCCCAGCTTCGGAACGACTCCAAGGGGCTCCCATATCTACTGGTGGATCAAGATTCACTGGTTGGTGACCACTGCCGTATCTACTCTAAGACAGCCCCCCAATAATTAGATTCTACATATGGAAAATTTATACATTTGTTATAATTTTCCAGGTATAGAAGCTAAGTGTTGGAAGGTTGTCTTGAATTCTACTCCCTCTTCTCTCCTCCCCCACCCCCACCAGCTACAGCAGGGAAAGCAGTGGCAGGGGGGTGTCAGATGGCCTCTCCCACTTCTTCCCCTTGCAACCTTCCTGCCCCTGCTGCCACCTGCACATCCCCATCTCCTCACAGCCTCTGACCTTCTCTCTCTTCCCTCCCCCCTGTCAGACACTGCTCCAGCTGCTCTGACCAGGTCCTGGAGCACAGCAGTGGAAGCTTGGGAAGGTAGTGCAGTAGTGTTTGTGCTGCTGATTGGCTGGGCACAAGAATCTGCCATGTGCTCCATGCCCATGCCCGGGAGAGACTCCAGTCTGAGCCAGAGAAGAGCTGTCCCTGACAGTAAGGGGAAGGGAAGGGAAGGGCATGGGCGGGAGGCTGCTATAGGTCTGACTCTAGCTCCAACCTCAGCTCTGGGCCAGAGTCAGAGCTGTAGCAGCTGCCAGCTCTCCACTCTGCTTCACGTGCACATATAAGACAAGGGGCTTTTTTCCCAGTTTCCCAAGGGGGGAAGGGGGAGGACTTATATTCAGGTAAATACAGTATCTATGTGGTCTCAATGTACATTGGTTAATTTTCACTTAGCATATTACCAGAACTCCTTCTCTTCTTTCTAAAAGGACTCTAAATGTATAATCTGGTGTAACAAACTTGTTCTAGTTTGGACTCTTAAAACAGATCTACTTTTGATTCTACATTTGTATAGTGCCTGGTCTGGTGGGGTTCTGATCCATATTTATCATTACTAAATTCTAGATGATAAAAATATATATGGGCATGCTACTTTAATGGTCATTTTCAAGGTATTATTTTGGAATCTCACATGTAATAGTATTTTTTAAATATATTACATTTAGAAAATATATATATATTTATTTATAACTTCTAGCTATTCAGAAAGGCAGAGAGAGTTCTTTCCTTGCCTTTCAGCACTAACAGATAAAGTAATTCTTCCAGTTAAATCTGGGTTTCAACTAAAGGCAGTATTTGGCTTGAATTCCTTTAGCTAGGAATATGTAAGGAAATAGGAACCCATCCTTGCACATCAAGCTAATAAGAAAGCATTGTATGTATAAATCAAGCTAATTTAATAAGGAGTCACTGGAAGACAGTAGGCACAAAGACTGTTGTTTGTTTCATGTTTTCAGATCAGAGTAATACTAAAACAACGTTTTAAGACGTGCAGATCAGAGCCTGGACATATGCCCATTAACTGGAATGGAAATAATCTGTACTTTTAACTGTTTATTCTTAACAGCAAACAGTTTGTGGCTTTGATTTGTTGCGTGCTAATGGACAATCCTATGTCTGTGACGTGAATGGCTTCAGTTTTGTAAAGAACTCCATGAAATATTATGATGATTGTGCTAAGATACTTGGGTAAGAGTTAATTATTTTGGACATTAAGTTAAATTATAATTACATTTCCGCACTTACTTTTTCTCCCCAAGTCTCCTTGAAATAAATGCACTGACTCTGGTACAAGCATTGTGTGAATATATACACTGAAATAAATGGAATAACTATATTAAAAGGGGCGTTTTGTTCTTATGACTAGACCCGATTTTTTTTTTTTTTTTTTTTTTTTTTTAAAAAAAAAAAAAAAGGGGGGTTGGTGTTTTTTTTTTAAAAAAAAAAAACCAAAAGGGCTCAGGCGTGTTTTTTTAAAAAAAAAAAACCAAAAGGGCTCAGGCGTGTTTTTTTAAAAAAAAAACACCAACCCCCCTTTTTTTTTTTTTTTTTTTTTTTTTTTTATGTAGACAAACACGACTGAGCCCATATGTGTCTATTTTCTGTAATGTGTCTGCATATTAAGTGTGTGTGTGCTTATGACAGACAAGGCATCTGGCGTTTACATATATCGGGTATCTGTCTGTAAATTTCAGCAATTGAGAGAAATATTGTTTGATTTGTGAAGGCAAGGTTGTTCTTCAAATATCTTCTCCTGCGTGGGATAATGCAATAAAATGTTTTGTTTGTTGGCAATATCACTATCCAGTTGTTACCAATATGCTTCCATGCATAACTTCTTTGAGGAAAAAATGAAATTGCATGGTACATTGCTCTAACATTTGATGTATGTGCTTATAAAGCTGTTTGATAAAAATGTCCTAGTTATTTCTTTTATATTCTTGTTTTTATTTTTGTGTTGAAGCAGCTTTCAGAAAATATCTAGATATGTTTTTGACTTTTAAAGTTTCAGATGCCCCCAAAGGGCTGAGAATCTAGCCCAGGATTAGAACTGAATCCTCCTGACTCTGCTCCTTTTATCTGCTATCGTGGTAGCAGAGAAGGATAATAAGAGATTATACAGAGAAAGAAATCTGACTATGTCAGTGAAGCATCTTTCTTAAACTAGATTGATCTTCTGTTGGCTAGTTAAGCTGGCTTTACAGCCAGATTACATGGTTGATACAGTGCAAAAAGCTCACTGCTGAGTGATCTGGCACCAGTCCTGAAGTAAGAGAAATAGTTCCTGGTTCAACTGAAATCCTAGATAGCATCAACTTTAGGATCATTTGCTGTAAATCACTTATTTATTAAAGTTGGTGGAAAAAATTCTGAAGATCCATGTGTACTTCTCCTCAGTTTTGCAGACAAGTGAAACTAGGTATGAGCTACACTGTTAAGAGCTTTCAATTAAAATTTTTCCATATGCTAAAAAATTGTTATAGCTGAATTACATAATTGGCCAACAATTTTGAGAGCCCCGCAGTGAGGAGGGGAAGTGCTGGGGTTGGCTATGGAGTGTGTGGTCCCCAGCCACTTACATGCTGAACGATCCTGCTCTAGCCTTTTAACAGTCTAATAACTTACTTTTGAGCCTGAATCCCCTATTGTTGTGCATGTCATGAATACCATTGCATTTTAATTAGCCAGCCTTTGTGAAGGTTTAACCATGAAGGATCTACACACAAATTGATGGGTTGATCCTTGTGTTGTAATCTTTGCACCATCTGCTTGATGCCATCTTGAAGCTGGGTGACTAACTTCCAACATTTCTAATGCGCTGTCCAATGATACCCTAAGTCTCTCTCTTTTTTTACCTTTTTCTGTTTTATAGGAAGAGCATTTAACTACATTGTCTCTTGTTTGTTCTTGCCATTTTTACTTGTTATTAGACAAATTTAACACGTTTTATAATCATTCAGAAACGCTGTGAACCAGTTTAGAATCTCCTTTTCTATGATGCACAGTGGGCGCATCTACATATACAATTAATGCACCTGAATTTTCTGAGCAAAAAATTCAGGCTCATTAATGTGTTGCCGGGCGCATGGCTACATGTGTGCCCCCATTGGGAGCAAATTGCATCTGACAGGAGCAGCCCAGTCCAGGGCTGCTCCTGCCCTTCTCTGCCCCCCCTGCAGCAACCAGAGGGAGCTCTAAGGGCTGGCAAAGGGCACGGGGCAGGGTGGGGGCAGTCCTGACTTCTGCCAGGCAGGGAGAACTGTATTGGCTGCAGAGGCAGCCGTCTTCCTGGCCATGTGGCGATTGGGACAAACCCCTCTTTCTTTTTTCTTTTTTTCTCTCAGGCCAGCCAGCCAAACTTGCAACAAAACCTGTTACAAAAAGGTTTCGGCACAGGAACTAACAGCCACCCATTAACACTAAACATAATGTCATGGGGAACCAATCAGAGGGCAGTCTCTGCAGCCTTCTAGACTGCATTCACCCCTGGGGTGAAAAGGGCATGTAGGTGTACTACTTACAAAAATATTTACAGCAAATATTTGCATCAATATATGCTCCTCTCCTCCCTGCCTCCCCTTCAAATGTTTCCCACCAGAACTGCAGGCTAGAATTCAGCCTACTTAGACTCTTTCATCATATCTGCATACCAAGAATACATGTTTCATCAGGTCATTGTCTAATTCAGATAGTGCTAAATTGTCTTTGTAGACTATATGTTCAAGTATCCAAGTGTTCGATAGCATTAGTGTTTAAACATTTGAAAAATGAATAAAATACCTATAGAAACCCATCAGTGCTCAGTGTTTGTCTGATCAGCAGTCAGTTGGAAACAATTTATTTTTTAAGTAGCTAATAATATGTGCTGCTTGAGCCTGAAGTATTGCAACACTACAATTTAGTTTTCTTGTTTGTCCTTTAGAAATATCATAATGAGAGAACTTGCTCCCCAGTTTCAAATCCCATGGTCAATACCTTTAGAAGCAGAAGATATCCCTATTGTGCCAACTACCTCTGGAACAATGTAAGAGAAAACTAACTCTGCCTGAATTGTGTAAAAAGCTTATATAACTTGTGTGATTTTTTTTTTCTCTCTTCACAAGGTATGTCCAGTTGACTCTGAAAACTTATTTTGAGTGATGAAACCAAGAAATGAATTACAGTTGGTAATCCAGCTATTGAAGTTTCTGACCCATAGTAAAGCTGAGTATAGAACCAGCAGGTTTTTAAAGTGTAGTCTCTTCTACACACGACTTCTTTCATTGCTAAATATTATCTAGTACCTGCTTAACACACTTCAAACAAACATACTTGTTGACTAAATAAACCTCAAAATCAACATTTTTTGCAAAACTGCTTACTGTAGATACTCTGTAGTTAGCAGAGTCCTAAAACTTGCTTATAGTTTACTGCATCACTTTACATCATTTTCAGGTAACTTTTATGTTCTTACAGTCATTTCAATAACGTGATATATAATTTTAACTGAACTGCACATTTTAATAATATTAGAAGCCCTGCAGCTGCACGGAACTGTGAAATGTAACTTGTTTCTTTTCAGGATGGAGCTCAGATGTGTTATAGCTGTAATACGTCATGGGGACCGAACACCAAAACAAAAAATGAAAATGGAAGTTAAACATCAGAAGTAAGTCTCATTTTGGTAAAGGAAATTTGGTAGTTAGGGTACAGGTGCATGTTCAGTTGAACTAATTTAGTGGTGATTGTGCATGTGCTAGGTTCAAGCTTTTGTTTAAAACTTGCCTCTACTCTATGATATGTCCCTTCCTCTGCCTACATAGTTAAATCTTTCTTTCAAGGCCTCCTTCAACTTGTGTTTCCTGCTAATGTAACCACCTTCACTCCTGCCTTGATAGATGCATTTTTTATCTTGTTCAAAATGTTGAGGCAAAGATAATATTCCTTTTTTCACTACTTTGGTCATGTCTCCTCTTTGCCTCTCTGTTACCACCCTTTCTTTGGTTTTCCCTGTATCACTTTCACAAACTGTTAGTCTTTGCATTCAAAGCCCTTCATGAGAGATGTTCCCATCCTCTGCCAATTTTTGTCTTTTTTGTCTCTAGGTTACTTAATTTGTTGACCCCATTAATGCTTACTCTCCATCTTTTTCTAATGTGTCTGTACAATGCGACCCTGATCCATCAGTAGGTATCACTGCAGTTATAATTATTGTTCTAGGACTGGATTGTGCCATCACATCATAAAGAGCATATATGCCTTAATTCTTTAGAGCTCTATGATCAATATTGTATAGTTAGTAGCCTTTGGCTTTCTCTTCAGTGTTCTTTTGTTTCTTGTTTGTTTGAAAATTGAGAATAGATCCAGTCATTTCTGAGGATTCTTCATATCCTTTTGTTTAGTGTCCAGTCTTAGCTAAATAGCAGGAAAACTTTAAGGCATTGGCTAATGGCATGAGACTAAAGTGAGCAGAGACAGACTTGTGACACTAACATCTGAACAATCTTTCTCCATAGTTCAGACACTTTCTGATTTAGGGATTTAGTTCCAGCCTCCCTTCCTTTTTTTTTTAAATGTGATAATCTGTTTATTGACATAAAGTGTATTAATATCTAGCATTATATTTGATGTGTTTTAAATTAGTTATGCTTTCTCCTAAAGGTTTTTTGATCTCTTTGAAAAATGTGATGGATATAAGTCTGGAAAATTAAAACTGAAAAAACCAAAACAGTTGCAGGCAAGTTTGTTGTTGTTGTTGTTTAAGTTCTTCAACAGTCTGATAAATATAAGAATTTGTTCATATACTTTTTTGTTTTATTTTACTTTCTCTGTTAGGAAGTGCTTGATATAGCAAGACAGCTTCTAGTAGAACTTGGACAAAACAATGACTCTGAAATTGAAGAAAGCAAAGCAAAACTAGAACAGCTGAAAACTGTGTTGGAGATGTAAGTGCATCTTTTGGCCTCACATCAGTACTGAAATGATTGTTTTGATCTCTTTCATTATCAAAATGTGAATAATCTTTAGATTATAATGTCAAATAAGTCAAGGGCTTAATCCTTGTTTTTTAATGTATAGAGTAAAAGGATAATCTTGTGATTTAAGAAATTGGATGGTACTAAGGAGAGCTGGGTTAATTCCTCTCTCTGCCCTAGTTTTGTGGATGATTTGGAGTACTTAATCTGTGCTATCTTTCATTTCTCTGCTTATAAGGAGGAGACTTTCTTTGTTCTAAAGATTTATTAGTCATGTCCAGTTGGAGAGTAAGCTTTTTGAAGCGAAGTCTCTTCTTATGTAGTGATTAGAATACCATTGTGCTAGCTACAGGTGGAACCTAGAGACACGTCTATAATACAGTAAATAGAATTTATGTTGTGTTCTGTTTATATGTAGCAAATTGTATAAAGTATAATAAATAAAAGATCTTGTTGTTGGTAATTCTCATCTAATGTGAAAATTCATCATAACCTGAGAAAGCCTTAATATCTCATGTCTTTAACTTATGGTAGTTTCTCATTGCCACTTACTGCTGAAACTGATATTTAAAAAAAAACAGCAAAGGGTGGATAGAATAAATTAAGCATCAACAAGAAGTATAGGGGTCTTCCTGTTTTAGGTCTGAACCCCACAATTAATTTCTTGGGCAGTGCAGTAAGAAGGTGTAATGTATAATTACTGTTACACGTTGATGGCCATTTTAAACTTTTTATTGAATCTTGTCTAGGAGAACAGGTTAAACACAACAGACAGGACAGATTCTTGGATTTAGTGTATGTCAAAGTGATGGAGGAGTGTGGTAAATTGAAGTACGCATTTGACAGTCTTTGTGCATCTTAGCATGCTTTTTTCTTCCACTTTAGGTATGGACATTTTTCTGGCATAAATCGCAAAGTCCAGTTAACATATCTCCCTCATGGTTGCCCAAAAACTTCTAGTGAAGAAGAAGGTACAATATCATTGACACATAATCACTGACACATAGTATGTAGTATGCTTATATATTAACTCTAGAGTACATGGTGGTAAGCAAAACAGAATGAATACTGTATGTAAATTAACATTTGTGTTGTGGGCAAATAAGCACCATATTGCCTTACATCACTGTTTTTGTTGTGATACCATGAGTAGTGATCTCAAGTTGCTGAATTTCTATAATTATAGCTGTAATTTTCATTTTAACATGGTTTCATGAGTAGCAGAAAATATATAGGGAAGAAATTTTATAAACTATGCATCAGAAATATCTTTTAGAAAACTTACATTTTTTCCATGTACTACCACCACCTGTTTTTTTTTCATGAGTTTCTAAAACCCTGAAAATTTTGTTTATGGATATTTACAAGTAGTTAATGCACAAAACATCAACTTGCTGATTCTTAATATATTTAAATAAGTGAGATACCTTACCTATTTGTTTTCTCTGTAAGAAGAGTTTTGTTTGCTTTCTTAAAGTATCTGAGTTATGCTTTGTTTCAATGTTTGGTTGAATTATGCTTGATTTTTTTTTTTTTTTTTTTTTTCAAAGCAGTATAACTCTAGAGATAGAATAGCTCTTAAATGAGATGCACAGGACTGAATTCTTCATTTGCCCTTAAATAGATGTTTGGATTTGTTGGCCTGTTGCTTCTAACTTCTCTTTCTGCATTTGATTAGATAGCAAAAGAAATGAGCCTTCCCTACTGCTAGTTCTAAAATGGGGAGGAGAATTGACCCCTGCAGGCAGGGTTCAAGCCGAGGAGCTTGGAAGAGCTTTCAGGTGCATGTACCCCGGTGGACAAGGTAATTTGCCTGCACTGTATGTCATAAATTAGACCTTCTCAAAAATGAACAAGTACAGAATGAGAGTCTAAGAAGAATGTTTTTTTGGTAGGGGATTATGCTGGATTTCCTGGATGTGGTTTACTTAGATTACATAGTACGTATCGACATGATCTCAAAATATATGCTTCTGATGAGGGACGAGTTCAGATGACTGCAGCAGCTTTTGCAAAGGTACTGTGGGAAACTTTTCAACATAAAGCTATTGGTAAAACCCTTATTTATGTTCATTAGGAGATTGGGGATAATATATGGCTTCAGTACAACCCACTAAATAAAAGATTAAGTGTGTTTAGGGTGAACTTATGACTCATGGAAAGAGCAAGTTCTCATCCCTTATGTTAGAAACTATCCCATCATCAGAAGAGGAATGGTGTGGATGTCATTAGTGCATACTTCTGTTTTGCAGTCACTGAAAAGCATTTCACCCTTCTCAGTAAGTCACCTCTCAGTAAGACATAAGTAGACTGGACATAAGGAAAAACTTCTTTACTGTCTGAGTCTCTAGAGTCTGGAATAGACTCCCTCCAGAAGTGGTACAGGCATCTACTCTGGACATGTTCAAGAAGTGTTTGGATGGTTATCTTGCTTGGGTCATCTGACCCCAGCTGACTTCCTGCCCTTTGGGCAGGGGGCTGGACCCAATGATCTTGCCAAGTCCCTTCCAGTCCTAATGTCTATGAAATAATTTCACAATCCTTAAGATATCTTTATACTAAACACATTTGTTTCTCCCCCTATGCTTCTAATCTCTACCAAGAAGCCTAATGTGGGAAAGGGAACAAAATAAAGAGTTATGTACAGGCTTCATGGAATGTATAAGGTTTGAGGGTAGTATTTCAGATATTGGCAAGTTATTTGAACAATCTCTAGTTTACACTAACATATTGGGTCAACATTTTAGGGCATCCTTTTTGATCATTGTTTACTGTCTGGTGACTCATGTTTTCTCCAGGGACTACTAGCTTTAGAGGGAGAACTGACTCCTATTCTTGTCCAAATGGTAAAAAGCGCTAATATGAATGGTCTATTGGACAGTGACAGTGATTCTTTAAGTAGCTGCCAACATCGTGTTAAGGCAAGGCTCCATGAAATACTCCAGCGAGACAGAGAATTTACTCCTGAAGACTATGAAAAGGTTAGAATATATTACATGAATAACATTCTGTTAAAATAAGTGAGCAGTCTATATTCTAATACTTGGATGAAGACAATAGGTATTCATCTCAGGGTGGGGTTGGGGATGGGGGGGGTGGACTCCCTTGTACACTTCTGTAACAAATTTTAATAAGGAGGTTGTAGCAAACCTGGAATACTTATAAATTTGAGCTAATCAGTATACATGCTTTAATGTCCTAGAAAAAATTTCAACCTATTCCTTAAATGAAGTAGTGTTTATCTGTTGTATTATGTTTATTTGCTTTAGTATGTACATGCATACAATGTGTATGTATGTTTCTTTAATGACTTTAATCATATGCACTCTGTGGTATTCCACATACCTATCAAATATGTGACAGTAATGTGTTTGTTATAGAATCAGTCTGATTCTGGGAATGTGAAGATGCCCAAAATATAGGAGGATACCCTCTAATCAGCAAACACAAATCACTCTCCATACCAGCCCTAAAACAGTGTAATAGAATGTAGATTACATAGGCTTGCTACAAAATAAAACAAGGTGATTGTCCTCCAGCCTAGTGTCCTGTTTTGACAGAGGCAAAAGTAGATGCTTTAGAATATGGGTGCTCAACCCTTGGGCTGTGGGTCAGATCTGGCCCACGGAGCTGCATCATTCAGCTGGCTGGACACCTCAAGGGTCTGGAAATTTTGCGGCAGGGGAGTGGTGGCAGTGTTAATTGCCTCTCCCCTACTGCAAAATATATCCAGTCCTGCAGATCAGATAGTGTGGCTGGATCAGGGTGAGAGGGCAGCTTGATCAGGCCTGCAGGCTGAATCCATACCACTCATCCAGCCTGCAGGGCAAGAAGGCTGGGCACCACTACTTTAGTGGGAGAGTATATGAACAAGCCATGCCTAAAGTGATCCATCCCTTGTCATATCTTCTCTGACATCAACTGTCGTTGATTTAGTGATGTCAGAGGATACATCCCTGATTAATAGTCTCCTAATGGAGAAAAATGATAATAAAATACAATGTTGTTATGTCAAATTGCAGCTTAATCCATCTGGAAGCATCTCTCTGATAAAATCAATGCAAGTGATAAAAAATCCTGTGAAGACATGTGACAAGGTATATTCTTTGATCCAAAGCTTGACCTCTCAAATCAGACAGCGAATGGAAGATCCCAAGTCTGCAGGTAACAAAAATAGATTTTACTTTATCCATTTTAAACTACTAACTTTGCACAGGCATGAGACATGCAACCTTTCTTTATTAGGCTTGCTCTTCATACTTCATAGATTTTTAGGGTCAGAAGGGACCTTAGTAAGTCATTGAGTCCAACCTCATGCCCTGGGCAGGAAAGAGCGCTGGGGTCAGATGACCCCCATCTAGGTGCTTGTCTAGTCTCTTCTTAAAGAGCTCCAGGATAGAGGAGAGTACCACCTCCCTTGGAAGCCCATTCTAGACTTTGGCAACCCTCACCGTAAAGAATTTTTTCTTAATGTCTAATCTAAATCTGCTCATATCTAATCTAAATCACTTCATAAATGATATTTTGGGAGTTCATATACATTGACCATGAGTGTATAGTTTTAGAATAGAGATTTTACTCATTAAAATTAGCAACAAGTTTAACAAAAAAAACAACCGGTGGTGACATTACACTTATCAGTTATATCTAGTGTTTATGCTAGAAACTAAAGCAGTTGACTACTCAAATATTTTTAAGAATAATGCAAGGACTGGAATGCCTGTAGATCTGAGATCAGAGAAGGGCAGGAAAAATAGACTGCTATAAATCTGAGTGAAGACTGACTTCTGAATATTAGTATTTTCACTGAAGATTTTTGTTAGTTCAAAAACAGTGAAAGATCTCACTGGGCATGTCTACACATACATTTATGCTGGCTTAAATTTTACTGCACAGTAAGTGGAAGTAGGTCAGCATCTATACGTGCAGGTGCTAAAGCATATTAACGTTGTGTGTGTGGACTGACTTTAGTCCCAAGTCAGTCCACACACGTGTAGTGTTACTGTACAATAAAGTGTCTACATATGTATTACTATGTAGTAACTAATCAGGCATAAATTTTGATATCTTCATGATGCAGGTATCAAATTTCCACTCAAGTCAGCATAAGTTGTCGTATTTACCGCACAGTAGGGGCATGCATGTGTAGATGTGCACCTGTACTGCACAGTAATTTTGGTTACTGCACAGTAAATGCACATGTGTAGACCTGCCCATTGTGTACAAATTGTTCTCTGTATGTTGTAAACCATTAAAACATCATTTAATGGCTACAGTTCTGTAGGACTTGAATTGATAGTTAATATTGATGTTTTCCTGTGTCTGTTTTCTTCCAAATTCTTGTCGTGCCCCAGGGAGTATACATTCCTTTTCTTGGCAGTGTCCTGGCTCCTCTATCTCTAGCTTCTGGTCTTGGATTGTTACAGGAGTGAGAGAGAAATGGGGCATGACTCCTACTTGTCTTCAGGAAAAAAAATGCATCTAATTTTAAACTAAGTCCCTGAACAATTCTTGATTTGTCATGGTCTGCAATTTAGTGAATTCTCCTGTTCTAAACACTGTAAGTCTGCCTGACAAGCTGGTGATACTCTTGAGGTCATGTCTTGCTTCTGCTGGTATAGCTGTGCAGGTAGCAGCAGAACTACCCATATACATACTTATTCCCTTTTTTAGATTCTTTCAGATTAATGTTTGAGTATACCTTTTGTAATAGTATTCCCAGGCTTTCAGTTATTTTATCCTAATAGACTGTCACCTGGAGTAAACTAATATTGCTTTTATCTTTGAGGTTAATTTTGAAGTTGTAATCACAGTAATACTTTAATCACGTAGCTTTTAACTGATTTAAACTTTAAGCACTAAAGTACAAATATTCATCTGTCTAGATATTCAGCTTTACCATAGTGAAACACTAGAACTAATGCTGCGTAGGTGGTCCAAGTTGGAAAAGGACTTTAAAACAAAGAATGGAAGATATGATATCAGCAAAATCCCTGATATTTATGACTGTATAAAATATGATGTCCAGCATAATGGTTCCTTAAAATTAGAAAACACAATGGAATTATACAGGCTTTCAAAGGCATTAGCTGACATTGTGATTCCTCAGGTAAGTATTGTACAATATTTATTATTATTATTGCCTTTAATCCACATCTCTGAAAAATACTTTCTGTTTCCGGTGTTCAAAAAGCCATGAAATAGCTAGAAACCTTCAGTAGACCTTTCATTTACTGGTGAAATTGAACATTGCTAGTAAACAGTAGATTAGCTGGCCTCAATATAAATTGATAATTCTAGTTTATCTGATGTCACATTCCAAAAAATTTAGAGTGTATTTCTAGGCCTTAGTTCCAAGCTGCCCCTTTTCATTTGTCTTTCAAAGGTTTACTTAGGTTCATTATAATAGTAATCTATATCTGAAGTTACATTTTTGTCAACCTTTTGCTTTCAAAATGTGTTCTTGGGTTGTTTGCCACAGACGTCATAATCTCACTGACCTGAGTCTAAAGTTGACTTTTAAACTAAATGGGACTTACTGCTGCTAAAAAATTAGAATTCTTGAGCAAAAAAATACACTCAGGTCAAAGTTTCATAGAATTGAGCCCAGAGGGACCGTTTGATCAAGTCCAACCTCCTGCATATCTTAACTTAAGTTCTGTAATGAGGCCAGTAACTTAGACTACTGTAGCTTTCCACATATGGCATGCACCTCTTCTCCATTTCCTTCCCCCCCTTCAAAATCAGACACCCAAAATTAGGGTGCATATATTAAGCAGGGAAGATCTTTTCCTTGGTTGAAAAGAAGCGTACCTGAAGACCATGTGCATCCTATACAGCTACCAAGATGGCTAGTGCTCGTCTGGCTTGGCAAGTTGAAGTTGTGTGCTTAACCCTCTCATAGCCATAGATATTGGCTGAACACTGTCTCTTGGAACAATGCTTAATTTACAGAAACTTATATAAAGAACTACTTCCAGTGAAGAACTAACAGTCTTGTTACTGCCCTTGCAAGGGTCTGCGACCTAACTTTGTGTGACATTATGTTCTCAGGAAGACTTACCTTGAGTGTCCAGGAATGATGGCATCCCAGAAAATAGTCTGGGTGAGGCAGCAGGAATTTCCTGGTGTGGTAGGAAGTTCCTGCTGCCTCACTCAGACTGTCTTCTGGGATGTCACACTTCCTGGACACTGTGTTCCCATGAGAACTTACTCTGTTGCCCAGTCAGCCATGACTCTGAAGAAAGCTTTTTCTTTTTTTTTTTTTTTTTAAATATACATTCTGCCTTCTGAAAATGAGTTGTGCATCTTATTTGGGGGGTGTTTGTATGTGAGAAAATACAGTATTCTAAAACATTGTAGTCCATCAGAAACTAAACTACCACAGACAGAAAATAGGATGCCAAGGTGCCACCAGTGTCTGCAGTGGTAGGTGCAGATCGGGTGCGTAGGTGAGTAGGTAAGATTGGGTGTGTACACGTATACTAAGCCTATTTTAAAATAAAGCTACTTAACTAAGCCGACTTAACTAAAGTGACTTAAATTAAGTCACATCAGAGTGTACACAGGTACAGCTCCTTGACATGGGTAGCAGCCTTCTTGTGAACTAAGTCAACTTAACTAATGTGGCTCAAGATAATACACCTTGAAGGCATGCCTCGCAGATGGCATCCAGCTGTTAGTCACACCAGCCCCACACTGGGCTCCAGAATCCTCCTATCAGGACCCTGCTTCGATCCCTCTGCTCAGGCGGCCTACCACGCCATCATTTGGCCTGCCAAGCTCCCTGTAGCTATCTCCCTTCTTGGGTGTGGTCCCCCCGGGACCTTCAGCCACACAGACCTCGGCCTCACCTCCAAGGCCAGGTGGGACCCCAGGCCCTCAGCTCTGGGCGTCCCTCGCAGTGGGCCCCTGGCCCTTTTGACCTTCCTGGTCCTGGCCCCAGCATTGACCAGTCAAGGGGGTACTCTACCTCCGGCCTCTCTCACTAGCTCCACTCTCTCTCTCTCTCTCTTGGGTCCACCTTTCTGGATGTGGGAGCTGGGGTACCTCATACCACAACTGGTGCTCCAGGGTCTCACAGGGACTCTCACTCCCCACCTCGAGCAGCAGGTCATGCTGCTACTTCATATCTTATTTTTGACCCACACTTGGTCTCCGAGCAGTGGAGGACTTACCAGGGTCAGGACTCGCCCCTCTCTCTTGGGCTGAGCCCCCTGTACTCTGCCTCTAGCCCAGACTTCAGCCTCAGGCATCTGAAGACCTACCTGGGTCTATTCCCTTCACCTGGGGCTCCACACTGCCCCCTCGCTTGGGGCTCCACACTGCCCCCTCGCTTGGGGCTACTCATTTCTGCCCTCTTCACTCAGGGCCACAGGCTTCCCCCCAGTGGGCTCGGGTGGTCATAGCCATGCCTGACCCCAACTACCTTTCCTCCGGGTCTTGCACCCTACAGGCCTCAGGTGGCCTCAGCCATGGCTGGCCCCCACTCTCTCTTCTTGGGGTCTTGCACCCGACAGGGCTCAGTTGGCCATAGCCATGCCTGGCCCTGACTACCTCTGGTGTTACCAGACCCACCCGGGTCTGGGGGCTAGGGGTTAAGGCACCCCGACCCGCCTTTCACCTAGGTGGTAACTGGCCTGGCATTTCCTAGGAGTTCCCGCAGCACTGAGAGCCCCACCAGGCCACCCACTCCCAGCAGGGTGCAGTTTGTATAAGCAGCCAGAGCTCTAAAATGACTGCCTTAATCAAGCACCTGCTGGCTGCTTAGCTTTGGTCCTGCCACACACATTCCCCCTTTAAATGGTACCTAGGGGGTTTCCCCTGATGCTGCTCCAAAGCAGGCTTCCACTGGAGCCTGTGGGAGCCCCCAAGTAGCGAGCACCCTCAAGGGTGCTCTGCCATACACCTTCCCCCTTTGAATGAACTCTGGAGGGGGGGAGTTCCCTAGGCTGGCTTCTCTGCTGGGCTCTGCCCCAGCCTATTGCAGCCTCTGCCACGTGGCAAGCACCCCAGAGGTGCTTCGCCACAGTCACATTTAAGCCGACTCTGCTCCGTGTGTGTACACTCTGAAAGTTAAATTAGTTTTCAGAAATTCAGCCAGCTTAACTGTCAGAAAGTTAGTATATATGGACCCATTATGCCCAAATAATCTTAGTAGGTGATTCACATCTCATACTGCAGAAAACATCTAGTTACCTCTCAATTTTACCACAAAAAGTTGATTTTTTTTTTTGTTTGTTTGTTTTTCTTTCCACAAGCCCAAATTGGCAATTAGTTTGAGCTTTGGCATGTGACCAAAACGTACCAGCCAAGTACCTGAAAAAGAAGACTATAGGAATGAAAGCATATTAGTTTCATCTTTATATCATGACTCTACCTTGGGGGGTGGTATTTTCCTTTTTTAATAGACAATGCCAGACAGTGGCCTTGTCAAGATTAGGCATGGTGGCAGAATACTAAAGCTGAAGCTCACCCGCAGTTGATTATGATGAAAATAGGGTGCTTAGTTGTTCAGATTGATAATGATCTTAGCCATAATTCCTCTGTGTGCCATTGACTAATCGATAAAAAAGTGCCTTAACTACATAACCCTTTTATTTGACTCATCAGAAACTAGAAAAAATTGCCTTTGTATTTTGGCTTGGGGTGTTTTGGGGGTTTTTTTTGTTTGTTTGTTTTAATCTTGGTTAACTTTACTTGAAATACCCTGTAAGGACCTTTTTAAAGCTAGTGGCTGGTTGGGGTTGACCATGGGACTAGCTAACACATTGAGAAACTGAAAGGTTGAGAAAATACAAATTAACACACACATTAATTATATTTTTTTCTTTAGTATATTGTGAGTTTTACAGAGAATGAACTGCACTGAAATATTGAGGTGTCAGGTACCATTAGAAGAATGAAGCTGGGTTTGTGAGCTAGTGTGTGCTGCACAGCACTACAGAAATATATAATGCCAGGTGTTCAGAGGGTCACCTGTAACTGCTGGTTGTACAAAAAAGTGGATGTTCACCTAACTCATTTAAAGACATTTATTCTCCCAGGTTGGAAATACAAACTATCCATTTTTAAAATATATTTTTTGTGTGTTAATGCTACTATTTAAACTCCTGGTATAGTAACCTCAGATTCTTGTTGGCTGTATTTGACATTGATAGGATGTTAAATACAGAAACCTACTTTTCATGAGAGTCTCCTGTTTTCTAAAGGAGTTAAAATTGAAGCACTGTACGATTTAGTATGGTGCGTGGAGTGGTATGAAGGTGAATAAGTAGTATTTCATTGATTATAATGACTGAAAAAATTATAAGCGAGACAGATTGCTGTTGCTTTTCAGTATGCTTTAACCCCAAGGAAATTCATGCAAAATTAAGTTACAATTCAGACTAATGTAGTGAAGCTTTGCATTGAGTAGATTTTAATTGTCTTTTGGTGGTGGTTCACAAATAGAAATGAGACAATTCTGTTTACATGGTAGTATGCTCAGTACCCAAGGTGGTAAGAATGCAAGGGATATCCGGCCATGGTAGTCTTTTAACTATGCTTGTCTTTCAGATCACTTGATGTTCAGATTCAGTCAGGCTGAGGATAATATAGCAATATGCTGTAGGCTGGTGATGTTACTCATTACAGAACACCTGGAGGGAGGGGTTCCTTATTCTCTTTTTTCCCAATTAGATTTGACCACCAAATATCTTTCAGAAGTCGGAAAGGAAGATGCATCTTTTTTTAACAGTTGGTAGTGAGGTGAAGAAATTAAAACCTCTGCTTCTCAGGCCACAAAAGTGGCCTTTCAGAACATTCTTGGTTATAAGCAAGAGGATAGTGCAAAGCTTTGGTTGCTGATACGATTCAGTGGCCAAATCTCCGATTCGAATCAGGAGACCAATTAAAAGGTTTGAATTGATTCAAAGCCTCCAAATCAATTTGGAGAAGATTTTGAGAATTGGGTAGTTCCTGCTTGCCACTGCAGAGAGCGGGACCCGGACTCCATGCTGGTAATTGGTGGGGGGGGCTGGAGAAGAGGGTAGGGGACCATGGGGGGACCCCTGCCTGCTCCCCCAGTTCCCCTGAGCGCCCCTTGACCACCACCTGCTCTCCCAGCCCTGTCAGTGGCTGTCCCGACCAGCCCCAGCATCCTGGCATTTAAAAAAGCCCTGTTGCACTCACTGGCTGCTGCAGCGGCTGTCGGGACCTCTGGGGGCTCATGGCAGAGCTTCCCCCCCCCCCCACAAGGCAGGGTAGTGGGGAGCAGCA